CGGACCTCAGACCTCAGACCTCAGGCCCATCGTACGCACCGCACGTCGAGCCCATCGACCGACCCATCACGATTTGCCGCAGACCCACTGCTACTCATCGCTCAAAGTGTCTGATTGCGTTACATGCACACGCAGCCCCATAAACGACCTAACAATAAACAGACCTATCTTGTGATATTGCGTATTGTGGTATTTTAATCGATTTGTATCAGCATGTTTATTTCGCTTGTTAATCCATCAAAGGTGCAACATTAGGATAGTTAATGAAGAAACCACACAAGTCAAATATAATTTTGAAGAAAGATCTGGGCATATTTCCAACTGGTGCCAGAAAAGATATGTTTTAGAAGTAAAATCATTGTTTTAATAATTCTTTAATGATTAAATCCAGATACATTTAATAAATTTCCCGTAGGGAATATAATATATATTATATTATAAATATATAATAACTAGTTGGTATTGGTATTTTGTCTTGAGGCAAGTTACACGAACTTCCCGATATGTATAAATAATCGATTTAATCAATAAAAATAAGTTGATTTATGAGTGATTAAAAGTGGATTCCGAGTGGATTTATTACACATAATTGAAAACGAACGAACACTCTATCGTTATACCAAGTAAATCGTCTAACTTTAATTTTAACAAACGTCAAAAAAAACTACTCTTTTTCCCAAACATTGATGAATTTTTAAAATTAAACTACTTGTCGTAAGGCTGTAATATTTCAGTAAGTTTTATAAGACCAGGATATATATTGCCAAAAAAAAGGTTCCATAAAAATCGGCTTAAATTTTTATTCAACAGTTAATTACGAGAAAACGGCTCGATAGATTTTCAACTAAAACTAATCAGTATCATTCCCAAATGATATCTTTCGAACAGTTTTTCGAAACGAATGTGGACGAAAGGGTTTACACTTTTTTCCAGATTACAAAAAAATGGTTCGGACGATCACGGCACAAACCGACAGAAAATAATCCACATCATCGATTGGCTTTTGAATTTTTGAAATAGGTTCAGGCGTTTTTGAGCAAGCGTCGATGAAGGTTATAATTTTGACAAACGCCAAACAAACGATACTAATTTTTGCAAGCTTTGACGATTTTTTAAAATTAAACGACTTGTCGTAGGACCGTAATATTTTAGTATGATCTATAAGACTATGGTATCTACCGTCAAAAAAAAATCGTGAAAATTGTCGAAAAAAAAAATTCAACACCTCATTACAAGGAAACGGTCCGGGCGATCTTTACCAATAACTAATCAGGTCGATTCCCAACCAATATGTTTCGAACAGTTTTTGAATTTTCACAATCGATTCAGAATTGCGGGCTAAAACGTGGACGAATTTTTTTCAGATTTCTGCGATTTACAAAGAAACGGCTAGGCCGAGAAAACGTCGATTTACGGCAAAAAATCTGTTCACACACACACACACACACACACACACACACACACACATACTTTTTCCAAATTTGGACTCATTCGATTCAGAATGGCTTAAAACGTCGAGAAAACGTCGTCAAAATCGAATATTTTGATGAAAACGTAAACTTCTCCTTCGGGAAGTTAATAATAAAAATGTTTATATATATTTACGTTTCAAAACCTTCTGAACATTTTGGTGTACCTTAGAAAAAATTGATGTATCTGTGTATGTGTATGAAGTGTGTCGATGAAGTATGTATGTGTTTATGTTTGGTTTAGTAAGACGAGCTGATTAGTTTTTGACAAAGGCAGGTTTAGCCGTTTCGAAAAAAATGAGTGAAAAGTAACTAGAATAGCAATTTTGAGTGAACGGAACTTTCTTTAGAATGATTTAAAAAATACATGACTTTCACTAAAATAATGAAGAATTTATTAAATTTCTGGAAAGGCAGATCCAGCAATTTAGAATCCAATAAAAAAAAAGTAAAAAAACGCTATTTGCAGGTCAAAAATGATTATTAGACTTATGCAAATCAAATTATCAGATATTTTATAGAGGTTTTAATAATAAGTACAAATATTATTAACATTTCTATGGGTTCCGTACCATGATTTGTAATGTTCAACAGCTATGCAGAGCGATTGCTTTGAAACAATATAAAATTTAAAATAAAAAAATAAAACTTTTAAAGATTTTGAACTACGATGAGTAAAGTTACAGAAAATTTGCATTAAGATTGCTGTGCTCCACTAGTTCATTATATCAATTATTACTGTGTACCATTAGTTATATTCAATTACATTTTCTTCACTAAATTTTAATCTATTTGTGGGATAATATGATCTTTATATTTTATATTCGGCCTTATATTTACCAGAAAATCTTTCCTTATTGTTATCTATGAAAGCTGTAATATAATTATTGAATGCGCGACTATTGATTTACCTGAATTTAAATGTTTTTCTAATCTAAATAAAATCTAACATCTTGAAGTGAAGTTTTTTTACTTAATCCAGATGCCTAGGATCTCCGGTTATTGTCAAAATATTTAAATTAGACAAAAGAATTTTATTCATTATCAGAAATCACATATGCATGTAGTCGTGCAAGTTCATTTGTCATTGACTGGTTTTGTATAATATATGTAATTGAAAAGAAATATAATCGTCCTATTCTAAATACTTATTGCTTTGTAAGCTATTAATAAAAGCTACGCGAAATGATAAAAATACTGTTGGTTCTATTTATCCTGCGATTGATAATGATTTATTTAGAGTTGAGTACACATACATTAAATAATATATATAGTACATAAATTTATACAACTAATCTTGCTACTTCAATCAACAGGTTAAACCAATGTTGGGAGTTTATTAGACATAATTATTATACAACATTTACAGAAGCAATAACTAATTTAACAGAAACATAAATGGAAAAATTGGAAGAAGAATTGCCAAATTCTAAGAAATTTAGCTGGATGAAAAGAATCGTTACCTATTACGAAAATGCTGACACTATTATTTTAAATAATTATTATATTATTGTTATGTAAGTCATATATTTTTATAAAGACAAAATTTGTATAAAATAATTGTGAATATAATTTTCTGAATGTTGAAATAATAAATTTTATTACATTCAACATATATTTCACAAATATTCAACTGTCATTTCTTTTTTGAAATTTTATGAACCACATAGATTCAAGTTATATAAAATGTATATGTAAATCAAATATTTTTATTGTAATTATTTTAAATAAGTATTTGTAATGTCAATAGAATATCAAAAATTAAATTAAAATTTCAATAATAAAATAAAAATTATATTTATCGCACATCAGTCTAAAATTCTAATAATTAATAAAATTTATAAATGTAATCGGATTATTTTATTTTGCCATAAAATCTGCGAATTTAATGTTTGAGTTTTCCTCGTCGTTCCAAGTCGTTACGAATCTTTCGACACCACAATTGGAAAAATAATGTATGTGAATTTATATTTTGACGTTTCGTCAACGTTTTCTCAGATCTATATTTGTATAAAACATTTTCATAGTTTTATTTGAAAAACATTATGTTGTTGTGTAAATGAACACATTCTAAAAATAGATAATATTATATAAAACTTATATAATATTTAATTTTAATTAGTTATTTATAAATTTACATACTGAGCTATTTACTTCCACCATACTATCACAGAAAATTATAATTGTATTGACAAAATAAAGAATTGATCACATTTTTGAAAATGCAGATTCAAAAGTTTCGGAGTTGCAGAAAGAAAATTATAAGAAGGTGCTTTTTGGTCGTAAAAATGATCATTACAAGAAATTATTATTAATTCATAAACAAAATTAATTATTAGTACATAAAGAAAAGTGAAAAAGTAGACTGGTGCACATGTAGACTGGTAGGAAGGAAGTAGACAAGTAGGTGGTTAGGCTAAACGGCAGGTCCAGCCGTTTCGGAAATACAAAACTAAATGTGCAGAAAATGGCAGTTTTTAAGTAAAATAAGCAACCGATTGTAATGATTCAAAAAACTGCTTTCGGATTCTGCTTGTGTTGACGAAACGATTGCTTTTAGAAGAAAAATCTTTTTTTTTTTAATTTCCAAAAAATATTATATTTTGAATATCAAAAATAATTTTGATTTTAATTCTAATGCTAGCTAAAGTTCTAAATCTCACTTATATACTTTAAATAGATTAAATGGAACTTCCAGAAATTTGCCCTAAGGCACGATACCATGCACCACTAATTAGTAATTAATATATAATACCAAGTTTTGAAGCTATTCTTAAAAATGTACCAAAGTTTGTAGATTGTGAATTGAAGAACCACTCATTTTAATGTGTATTTTTGATATAATGTCATACGACGTCAAGGCAATTGTCAGTAAATATTATATTGTTCCATACATTTTTCTAAACCATTAGTATACGTCGATGGTGGAGTCAATCAGTGTCAATATTTTTCCATAAAACACATGCTACCCTTACTAGAAAATGATTTAACAGTAATTATTAAATGTCATTTAATAATTGAGACAAAACAAAAGCTACTAAAGACTTGCATGCCAAAAATGGTTACAATTGTGTACATATTAGTAGTTGGTATGATAAAATGTATAATTAATAGTAATTGAATTATACATATATGTATTGATACATACATGATAAATAGCATGATTTTTGATAGATGAATATAAAACTGAAGCCTTTTTTATTCGTTTAATTTAATTATTATAAATTTATATACAACTATATATGAAAGAGTGAAAATATCACAAATATCGTTTACTGGTGAAATTCATTCTTAAATTTAAATGAGTTACTAAAACCAGTTTTTAATGTACTAAAAAAATTTACTGGATTGATGTCTATACATTTTTTAAAAACAATATTAGGGTGATGACAATCCTTTCACAATAGTTTATATAATTGTATAATCTTGATTGTTATTATAAATATCAATTTTTAGAAATAAAAATGAAAAAAAATATTTATAATTTTTTAAAATTAAAAATAAGAGATTTAATATGCAAAACACTGAATGATGGCTTACAGTCGCAATAGAATTGTTCAACAATATGCTTTGTAAGTCATAAAATTTATTGCATAGATACGAAAAAATTAAATTTTTAAACAAAATACAAGTTGCTCTTGAAAAGTTAAATTCGTTTGCGTAAAGTATAAAATTAAGCTTGAAAATTTTCAATATCGGTTTGAACTCAGAAAAAATAATTGTATAATATATTCACATTGTTGAAATTATTTTTAGAAAAATCTAATGTTAAAATAATGCTTGAATTAATCCATACGTCTACGATCTCAGATAATTGTCGAAATAATTGATTTGAATGCTATTTTGTTTCAATTAAAAAATTACATGTTAATGTAATCGCGTAGTTTCATTTGTCGTTTATATCTTATATCGTCAATTGAAAACAATTTTGTTTTTGATACTCATTTATATATAATCATAAAATTATGCGCAATGAAGTCAACAATTTTGGCAATTTTCATCCTGCAATTGTTCATAAATTATTTTGAGTTGAGTATTTTTGAATAGAATTATATGGTATTAATTAAACTTAAATAGCTACTCCTATCAACAGATTGCAGTTGTGCTGCAAAACACGACAAATTATGTTGATGATGTTAATGTTGATAATATTACAATTTATATAGAAACTGAAACAAACAAACCAGAAAAATTGACTGATAAGGAGGAGTTATGGGCTCTCGAAGCGGTTAGTCAATAATTTCTTATGAAAATCTATTATTTCCTGATATTTAGTGTCAAAAACTCTGTTTTTTTACTAAAAATAATTTGACAAGTTATATAAGAAAACAAAAAAAAATATAAAAAAACTTTCGTAGAAAAGTGCCTAAAATTTAATTAGTGGTGCATTGATTATTGATTAATGGCGTTGCACAAAGAAAATTATTTATGTTAGTTGTAAAATTAGTTAGACCTTTTACAATTTTTTGTCTATGACATTTTGACAAAAGATTATGCTATATAAACTACTTTCTCCAGAAACTCTTCCTCCAGAAATAAAGTGCCCAAGCACCTCTAATTATACGGAAGATTAATAAATTTGAAATAGATTAATTCAATATTATTTTTAATACAATCATTAGAATCAAAATTAGAAGACGAATTATTTATATTTAATATTTATATAAAAAAATTATAAATATTAATGAATATATTTGCTTTCTGATTCTAAATTAATAATATTTGAACATTATTATGCATGCATTCTAATTATTTTTATTACCTTTTCGAGGAAGGTTTTGTTTTGTCAGAAAAACTTTAGGTTAATTTTATATTTTCTCGATGTTTCAAGTCATTTAATAGAATTTGTAAAATATGTATGTGTGTACAAGTATGTGTATGTAAGACAAAAGTTGACCTTTCGTCGACGTTTCCCGAAGGAGAAGTTAATGTTTTTAGAAAACACTCGGACTTGTATTAGACACGTGTTCGTTTTTCACTAATGTATGATAAATCCACTCGGATTACTTATAAATCATTCATAAATTAATTTAGTTATTATTGATTAGTTTGATTGTTTAAACTAGCTAGCATAATACCACTAACCTCTAACCACTATTTTAATGCCCGTCACAACCGTCTTCGGGGTGTGGACAGTTGTGACCCTCGCTCTTTTCTTGTATTATTTATTCATCGTATCAAAGGACACCATTTCTGATTACCATTTAATTTACTTTTCTCCCAGATAACTGGTAAATTAACAACATTATGACCGATCAACGAAAAAAATGCACGAGCGAACCCAGTTTCTATATTGAATTTTTAAAATCAAGTTTATGATAAAAATTTTTTTTTATGAAGTTTTTATATAGATATAATTGTAGCAAATATGCGTAAAATTACTACTTATAGTTCTTAATTATATTCGGACAATTGCAATTTGAATCAATTCAAAGAAGATATATTTCATATAAAAAAAAATACAACCGTACCGTCGGTACGTCAGTGTGTTCATGTATGTTCGGATAATTTCAAAATGCAAATCATATGTATTAAATTAGGTACTTACAAGAAGAGGGTCAATAATACAGGATGATTTAGTTTTAAAATTAATTGATTTACAAATGCATCAAAGTCGGTTTGATAAAAAAAATTTTTTTTTCAGTTGCGCGATGTTGCGTATTACCTGCGTTATCACAAATTTAACGAGTATGACCGACGTTACCATCCAACCGGAGGAGAGTCATACTTGTATAGGAAATATCCAGTGCCTCCACTCCGGAATATGCACTGGGAAGTGAAGCAGAGTTGCGGTGATGACAATTTCTTCAATTGCTTGCAGTATCTTCATAAAATTGTGAGAAAATCAATCAGACGAAGAGGGGACGATACGACTTATGTTCTATTGTACGCCAAGGGTAATATCACCCGAAATGCAACTCTCAGCGTAAGTGTAAAAGTTAATTGCAAATACTATAATAATACTAATGGTAATTGGAATAAAAAACTAGCAGTGAATTAACTTTTTGGGGACGGCTGTCCACCTGAGTGGACAAACATTTTCTGTGAGGCACAGGCTATTTTATAAACAATGACTCAGTTTGCATCGAAAAGTTGAGTAAATTATATATAGCAGTGATAAAAAGTGTTGTATTCTGAAAATAATTTTAGTAGTTTTTCTAACCTTTTTCTTTGCTATATAGTCTTTTTTAATATTTAAAACGACCGAGCGCTTTTAAATATGGCAAAGCGACTGGTAAATTTTGTGAATTAAGCAGTAGTGAAGATGAGTTTCAAATAGACATTCATACAGACAAATTTTACGAAATTATTATTCGCACCGAAGATAGTGATGCATGTGATGATGATATTATCCAACCAACACGAAGAAGAAGAAGTTTGACAATTCGAAGAAGAGTGGAAAGACATTAGCGAATGTGCAGATTCTCCTTCAATAATCGAGTTTAATATACATCAACAAACACCCAGATTACAAATACCAAGCAACATAAGACATCCAATAGATTATTTTACTTTATATTTTACAAATGAATTATTAGACAATATAATAGAAAAAACAAACAATTATGGCAGCACAAAAATGAACAAATATACTGACTAATTAGTGGCATATTCTAAATGCGAGAGAAAGAAAAAAGAATTGTATCGGCTGTTCTGGACAGAAAAGCATTAAGAGGGAGACGGCAAAAAAAATTTTATTGTAAAACATGTCAAAATCAACCAGCTATGCATTTTGGAAATTGTTTTGAACGTCACCATTCATTATAAAATGATCAAAAATAAATTATAAATGTATGTCCTTCAATGACCACAAATTTTTATCAAACAAATGGCATAACATACACAATGAAATCAAGTTTACAGCCGGTACAGTAGGTTGTTTTGAAATGGGTGCCGTCCCGTAAGTGTTAAAATTGAAATCCTCTCGTTTTATAAATAAGCGAATGGTCAGATATATCACCACTTCACTCAATAAGTCCGTACCATAACCGAGAAAAACTATTTTTTTTGGCATTTTTTTTTATTCAATATAGTTTTCTTCGAAGACGATATACCAATTATAGCGAACTTCAAACTTTTCGAAACCATTTTTGTAGAACGATTTGTATTTAGCCACAAAATTCGGCCTTCATCTCATCACTTGGCAAATATTTCTTCAGAGCGAGCATCCTTTTGAGATCTGAGAACAGGATATGTTCGGAAACAGATCTAAAAAATATAGTGGAAAAGCGATTCGGACACTAATTCATTTTTTTACTACTGTTTTCACGGATTTGTGAATTGGTGCGTTGTCCTGATAGAGCAGCACGGGTTTCTTTTTCAAATGCGACGGTTTTTTCGATTTGGTCTTAAAATGTTCCAATAATGTTATACAAATGTCGCTGCTGATGGTCTGGCCTTTTTCAAGATAGTTGATGAATATCATTTCTTGCGTATCCCAAAAAAACTGACGCCATAACCTTGCTAGCTGATTGGTTGCTTTTCTTCTAGTCGTAGTGTCTAGTCCACTCGGCTGACTGTCTATTTGACTCCGGAGTGTAGTGTTGAAGCCAGGCCATATCTATGGTAACATATTGATGCAAAAACTCAGTTTTATTTAGATGAAACAGCTCCAAATACTCTTACAAATCATCAACTCATTATGCTTTTGGTCAATTGTGAGTTTGCGCGGCACCCATTTAGCACAAAGGTTTTTTCTACTCAAATATTTGTGAACAATATGTCCATCACGTACTGTTGGTATCTTTAGAGTGCCAGCTATAGCAGGCAATTTTACTTTTCGGTTTTTCAAAACGTTCCGGTGGACTTTTTTGATATTTTCCAATGTAACCACCTCATTGGCCTTCCAGAGTGTTCAGCTTCGTCAATTCAGCTTCTGTACGGCGACGATAAAAATCAGCAAACAACTTCTTCACTATCTACCTCGATTTGGGACAGTCCAGATAACACTTATCAAACGATACTTTGACAGCAATGGTAATCTTAACCATCAAAAATCACGAAATTGCTTTAAAATCATGGTTTCGAAAAACTCAAAAGTAGCATCACTTGAACCTTTGTAACTTGTAAACTAATCGTTGGATTGTCATGAAATTTTGACATATATCTTCTTAAAGTTGTTGCTTGCTACAAATCATATGAATGATTACATAGATACGTCATTTATGTGTTATCCTACGGACTTATTTCTATAAAGTAACTAGAAATTGTTGTTCAATAAACCTTCTTATTGTACTTGGTAAATTGCCTCAAAGTAAATTGTTGGAGTGTCGTTTTATAAAGAAACTAGTTGTGCCTTGCGTTCTGTCTCAAGATAAATTGAGGCTTGCATTTCGTCTTAAAGCAAATTGTAGAAAATTTTTGTTTTTTTTTAATCAAACTATTTGTGTACGATATAGAGCCACTGAAGCTTCTCGCTGCAGAAATTAACTAATAGCTCATGGTATTGTAAATAGTAAGTTATTTTAAAGTAGCATCTAATTTAATAAAAAAAGTACTAGTAAATAACAATATAATGCATCACTAAGGATAACTAAGAACCACCAAGTTTGAATTTACAATACCAAAAAAAAAAAAAAACGATGTGTGGATTATGATAAAGTAATTTAATAAAATAAACTGATCATAATCCAATTATAATTAAGCAAGTGCTAATTGTGCCTGGTATTTGCCTTAAGATAAATCATTAAAGCTACTCGCCTTATAGGGCAAAGCAAACTTGTTATGTATGGTATTGTTTCTTAAGGTAAGTTATTAAATTATACCTTAAAGTAAAATTTTAATACTGCAGGTTTTATAAAATATATTGTGCATGGCATTATGCCTTAAGGCAAATTGTTGAAACTTCGTTTCATAAACAAACTATTAGCTTTAGGGTAAATTTTTGGAACAATTCGTTTTATAAATAAACGCACGATGAATTTTATTATATTCACATCAATGCAAATTGTAGTATAATCCCGCTTAAAAAGCAAACTCATTATGTAAGATGTTATGCCTTAAACTTAAAGTATAATTGTTGGAACTTTTTGTTTTGAAATTAGTCATATATAAACACAAGTATTGCATGAATAGTTTAAATATTTTGACCTTTATAAATATCTGTTGCTTAATTTCAATTTGGTGCAAGATCAACAGCATATTAGTACGAAACTAAAAATTACAGGGTAAGCGTAAAATGACGTTTTTATATTTCATGAGTGCTTGACATTTTGCGTACATATGAAAAGTTATACGTAGTTGTACAATAGAAAGATTTGTCTAAATCAGTCATCAAAAAAGACCTCTTAATGAAAAAATATAATCAAATAGTAATAAATTTACAAACGGTATGGTCAATTTAGAAATTGTATGAAAATGAATGCGAATCACCTATAATTATATAACACTGATGCAAAATTCGGATAAGTTAGTTTGGATTTGGAAACAACATCTACCATTATTGACTGGTAACAAATGTATATTTCAATTAGGAGGTAATACTTTTTATTTTACGATAAAGTGAAATAATTTGCAAATTATATGTATATTTTTGTTATATAATCATTCATTTTATACTATATAAAAACAATGACTAGAAATATGAATCATCATAAATATTATTATAAGTTTTCAATTTACAGTATCTGTTCACCCATTTCACATTTCTTATTGCTGTCAAATTTCATTCTATTTGTGGTATATGATAAAAAAACAAATTAATTGTTCACAAATACAAAAATATGATCTTTGTTGAAAATTGCTTTTTGCGGGCAAACTCTTCAGATCAACAACAAAATTATTTAACCATGGATAAAGATATATCAGGACTAGGTCAACTATTGGATTGCTTTCTAATTGTCTTCATTGATAAAACAGATGATACTTTTAATAAAAAATCAATAGAGTATTAATGCGGTAAAATTGTAGTATATTTGAATTATGCGTCAAAGAGAAATTAATTGTTCATTGTCACTTAAGGTTGACGCTGAATGCCGCGCTTCAGCCGCTCTAGAAGAAAAATCAGCCAAGCCATTTGCTGGTCCGCTTGAACGGTATCAATGGCGCACCAGTGCATCTATATATATGTGCCTATTTACGATGTTAGAGACACCTCAATTTGCTCATTTTCGCGAAAGATGCGATAATTTTGCAAATTGCTTAGACTATAAAAATGAATTCGGACATAATGATCCGAGAGCTGATGATTCGGAACCGTTTGCTTGCGCTACATACAGGTAATGCTTATCTGACATTAAATATTTAATATATATATATATATATATATATATATATATATATATATGTGCTCTTTCCATACAAACTTTGATTGAATTGCGCTCTATCTAAACGTTAATATTAAGAGCTAAAATTCTCAGAGAATTGTTTTTTTTATCTATTTGAACCAGTTGAGCCCCTGGGAGCAAGAAAATTCGAAAATGACAATTTTAAGGATCACCCTAATTATATATATATATATATTATATATCTGTCTATATATATATATATATATATCTGTATTATAATATAATATATATATATATATACTTGCATTAAGCTGGTCAAAATACTAACAGGTGGAATTTACTCACAGTTTTTGCCCGGATCCTTGCTGTCCTTTGCGCTATATATTGCAAATGAAGGATTGCTTACAGATTCCTATGAACCCGTGTAATGTAGAAAATGGGCCCGAAAGGAAAACACCTGCATAACGTATAGAAATGTAATATATGAAGAACATATTCATAATAATAAGTACACTAAATTCACAAAACATACTATATATATTCATACATAAAACTGATAAAAATATTTAAATTTTTTCAGTTTACTTGAGAAGTTTTTCCCAGAAGTTAAAATAATACTTTATGTAACATTTAATATTTTTTGAGAAATAAACGGAAGATTTAAGTTCAGAACGAGTAGCGTATGACATCGTGCCTTAAGGCAAATTGCTGAAAAGTTTCCGTACAAAAATTCATTTGTTTACTCAACAAAAACTTATTTAAAAAAAATTATATT